CTATCTCTGCAGGCGCTGTCCCTCCTTCTGCAGAGCATCTACGAGCGAGTCCAGCCCAAGGCGGTCGGCGAGATCCGCGCTCGAGCTCCTGGCGAGCCACTGCGCCAGCGCCTCCTTCGGGCTCAGGTCAGAGAACAGCGTGGCGAGGAAGAACCCGATGCTATAGACGTCGGTGAGGCTGGTGGACTCACCACACGCTCTGCCGCGCATCTCGGGGGCGTAGTGCTTGCTCGTGTCCTCGGCCCAGCTGAGGAGACTTCCGCCCTTGAAGGTTATCCCGAAGTCTATCGTAGTGACCTCGGGGCCGCCGGGGGTCATGCGCACGCATAGGTTGTCGCCCTTGATGTCGTTGTGGACGAGGCCGTGCGAGTGGATCGCGCGGAAAATCTTGGCGACTTGCAGAGCGATCGAAATCCTCTGCGGGGGAGCACCTCGGCCCGTGCAAGTACTTGTCCAGGTCAAGGCCGGCGTATTAGGTGACCATCACGAATCGCTTCGGGGAAATGCCAACGAGCCGCTGCAGGCCAGGCACGGCCCGAAGAGTCTGCATGACCTTGGCCTCGCCGACGGCAGAGTTAAAGGCCTCGATGTCGACACAGAATTTCACGACGAGATTCTTCGCGGGGTCCAGGAACGCTATTCCGGAGGTGCCTGCGCCCAAACACGCAGGACTGGGACCGAGGGCGGCCCTGGCAGCTCGAACTGGCCACAAGGGCAGGGCGGCCTCCTATTTCAGGTACTTGACCTGCCTCTTGGTCGGCCTTGTGATGTCCGGGTGAGGCAGCCTCATGCTGGCCTCCCAGTCCTTCGCGGCGGGCGGCGCCTCCTTCGGGGCGTCGTCGTGAAGCACCTTCGGTCGCTTCGGGTCTTGCCGAAGGGGGTCCTCGGGGGCACTGCGCTCTGGCTCTCGCTGGGAGTCCATTGTCGCGCGTTTCAGCTAAGGTCTGAAAGCCTCTCTATTTTGTGGAGAAAGAGAGGGTGGGGGGATATTGGCAGTGGTATGGAGTCGTCGCTTTTGTTCGAACGTGTGTATCTGTGTTTGTGAATGTATGTGTATGCGCGTACATGTCTGTGTGTATGCACGTACATATCTGTGTGTATGCGCGTACATATCTGTGTGTATACGCGTACATATCTGTGTGTATGTTTGTTTTTGTGTGTGTGTGTGTGTGTGTGTGTGTTTGTGTGTGTGTGTGTGAATGCGTGTATGCGCGTACATATCTGTGTGTATTTTTGCTAGACCGGTGAAAGTATATAATGTAGGTGTGTGTGTGTGTGTGTGTGTGTGTGTGTGTGTGTGTGTGTGTGTGTGTGTGTGTGTGTGTGTATGTAGGTGTGTATGTGTGTGTGCGCGCGTATCTGCCATCTTACAGTCATTCCTAGTTAATGTTATGAGTGCTAAACATTCCTGGCAGAAAAGAAGGTGCACTTAATACCGTGTTTTACGTATAATGTAAATGTAGTGTATAATCTATTCATTATAATTAAGAAACGTACCATCAGTATTTTGCAGATCAAATATCGTGTGTGTCAAAAAGTACATGTAGCAAAGGGGAACAAAATTCCATTAAGATCTAATTCACTTTGAGGTTTATGGCTCCCCGGACACTGTTAATGGCAAGGAAAGCCTGTGTTTTACTACTTACTCTTGTAATGTACAAGTAGAGCTGCGTGTAGCATTTCTTTTGTTTTCTTTTCTTTTTCTTTTTGTTTGTGCTGCTACTAGTTTATATGTTAATACAGATTTCGTTATAGTTATTATCATCAGTATGATTCTGTATAAGTTTTTGTATGAAAATTATTTGGCAATGATCGATATCATTATTACGTTTGTGTTAAATATCACCATGCTTTGATTATCATTATCGTTATCACTCCTATCAGCATCATCGTCGTCATCGTTCTTATCATTATTATCATCATCATTATCATTACAAGTATTAGCGTTTTTTTTTCTTTTTAAAATATTCTCTTTTCCTTAATTTATCATTAACACTATTTCATCACAGGCTTGTTATCATCATCTGTCATCGTTGTTACTACTTAGAGTATAATAATTTGCATTATCATTATTGTTAGCATTCCTACCATCGGCTGTAATAGTTCTACTACCGTCAATATCATTGCTAATGCTTTTGTTGCTATGATTATCTTTAGCCACATTACAAAATTTGCATTTTTATCATCCTTTTTACAGTCATTAGCACAGTGACATCCTTTCTGAGATATCTTAATCCTATCAATGAATATGTTTATTTCTAAAGACTTGAAGAAGTTCTAATTCTGAAAAAAAAAATCGAGAAAAAAGTCTTTACAACAGTTGCGTGGTGGTTGATGTACCTGAGTAAGCCAAACATAGACTTTATTTCCTCTGAGGAAATAAATACAACCATGTAACTGGAAATATTTAATTTTTCTACACATATCGAAAGTTGTTTATTAATTCTATCGTGAAATGTACTGTTTTTCTTATCAGATACTTCACCAAATTTGCAAGGACTTTCTTGCCTTGTTCTGCATGGACTACAGATCTCCGACACTACAGTAAAGTAAACAACTGAAAAGAGATTGCACGAGTGAAGACAAACGCAATGCATATGGATTTCTTCCAGTAAAGCAGAATGGAAATTTTATTCACAGTATGAGACACAACAAACAACAGAAGGCCGACCTGCAACCTGCTCATTGCATGCATGAACCACGGAGATAACCTAATTCAAGGATATTTTCTTCTTTTAGCTTTGCCTCCCTTGGCTTTATTTCCCTGCTCGCGAGATATTTTCCCTCCCCTATTTTCCTTACTTCTTTTTTGTCCTTTTTTCTCTTCCCACAAACCAAGAATTGCCAGGCGGAATCTCTGTGTCCTCCTTCCTGCAATTTCTCTCCTCCTTCTGTAAACATGATCCCGCACAATTCAGGTGACGTTTTTCCCCGAATGTGTCCGAACTCGTGCATCATTTGCTTTCCTTCTCTTCCTTGCCTTCATGCTAGGTATTTTCATTGCATTTTCTTATTTCTTATATGAATATTAATTGCGCGCGCACGCGCGCGCGTGCGTGGGTGTGTGTGTATGTGTATGTGTATGCGTGCGTACGTGTATGTGCATGTATATTACGCACAAACACACGCACACACGCGCGCGCGAGCGCACATTGCATCCATATTAAATAACATTTGCATGTGTATGTGTGTGTGTGTGTGTGTGTGTGCGTGTGTGTGTGTGTACGTGTGTATTTGTGTGAGCGCCAGTATGTGTGTGTGGGGGGGGGGGATTAATGTGTGTGTGTAGCTAGATGGATACATATAGATATAATATATATATATATATATATATATATATATATATATATATATATATATGTGTGTGTGTGTGTGTGTGTGTGTGTGTGTGTGTGTGTGTGTGTGTGCGTGCGTGTGTGTGCGTGTGTGTGTGTGTGTGTGTGTGTGTGTGTGTGTGTGTATGTGTGTGTGCGTGTGTGTGTGTGTGTGTGTGTGTGTGTGTGTGTGTGTGCGTGTGTGTGCGCAAGCGCGCGCGTGTGTGTGTGTGTTTAAATAGGCCTTGGAAAATCTACAGTCAACAAACAAAAAAAAAACATCAAAATTCTCTGTAAATACTAAGCCTAAAGTTCAGTGTCCATGTCTGTTATGGTAGTACGCATTAATCAACAAACAACACAGCACCGATCTTCCCTGTTCTCGTTAGGGCTAGTGCCGTCGCATCTGCCACCCGCAGCATAAGAGACGAGAAGGAATCCCCTGGTGGCAGGCCTGACCCCTGGCCATCTCGAGTCCATTCCTCGCGTCAACACCACACTTTTTTTTACCGGCCACGGAGCGAGTGCCAAGGGGGAATTCTCTCGGTCCTTCTTGAAGACGGTGACGAATCTCGAGAAGAGGATCCCTGGGTTATCTAAGGAATATGAATGTATGAAAAGAGCAATGATATGTATGTGTGTGCGGGTCGAGAGATGGCCAGATGGATAGATAGATAAAGAGAGAGAGAGAGAGAGAGAGAGAGAGAGAGAGAGAGAGAGAGAGAGAGAGAGAAGATACTGATTGAATGATTGATTGATTGATTGGTTGATAGACAGATAGAGATATATATGAATATATAGAAAGATAGATAGATAGACAAAGAAATAGATCGGGTGACTAATCGATTGATAGATAGATAGACTGATTGATTGATGGATAGATACACAGATAGATAATTAGATAAACAAATATATGGCCTGAGAGACCGAAAGACACAGCATGCACACAAACACGCACACACGTGTATGTGTGTGCGTGTGTGAGGACAGCTGTGAGCACTTCCGCCGGCAGCCTCTGTCTCAGAAGAGTTCCCTCCCCCCGCGGCGTCACAGAGTGGGAAGGTGTAGGGCGGGGAATGGTCAATATCATTGCTAATGCTTTTGATGCTATGATTATCTTTAGCCACATTACAAATTTTGCATTTTCATAGGGTTGGGGAAGGGGGGGGGCGCTGTTATGCGAAGTGTTGGTTGTATAGTTTGTTTGTTTGTTTTTCATTAAGATCATCCGCTAAAGGTAGATTGCCCGTTCTTGCCAAACCTCTGACGTCACCATATGGTTGCTATTGTGCAAGCTCGTCTAAACCTCTAACATAAGCCTTTTCATATAATGCTATGAAATTAGTCGGCTAGATCGGACAGAATAAAATAGATTCTAGGAGGATATTTCTGTACGTATGTGTGACTTTAGAACATTAACAAACATTAAGGTTTAAGGTTAGGGGAAGATCTTTTTTTCACGCAGAGTTCACTGATTCAAATGTCATGCACAAATTATTCTGCTCATAAATCGAATTATTAGTTGGATAAACCCAGATGCAAATTAGCCAGCCCACGATATCACCCTTTATCTAAATCCTCTTTTACCAAGGTGTAATGCAGTGTTATCAAATATTAGCCCAGATGATTATCAAACTTCCATTAGTGTATTGACCTGAATGAAATAAAAAGAGAGATTATATGACAAGCTTTTCGTATAGCTACCAACACCCTTACTCAATCTAGGTATTCCCATCTGTGTGTGTGTGTGTGTGTGTGTGTGTGTGTGTGTGTGTGTGTGTGTGTGTGTGTGTGTGTGTGTGTGTGTGTGTGTGTGTGTGTGTGTGTGTGTGTGTGTGTGTGTGTGATCATCCCTTTCTACACAGCTTGCTTTGTCTATCCCGGGCTTATATGTAAGTCTTCAACATAAAGCCGTCAAATACTGCCTTGCTTCAGCGACCAGTCTCTTCCCCGCCTCCTGATGGGACCTCCCGACGCTCCATTCTTCGGCCCGTCTATAATAGGGTGCATAACGCCCGTCATAACGCGTGTTATGTGTTATTGGCTCGTTTTCCTTGTCTTGGGCGCTCGCATTAGGGCTGACGAGAGGCTGTTTTACGCTGTGCCATCTACACGACGCTCGAATGGTACAACCTATGTTCAGCACGCTCTTCCCTAATCGCTGTTCTCTGAACACTGTTCTGCGCGCTGTAACCTGCACTGACACATATATATGTATATATACATATGTGCGTGTCTAAATAAATAAGGGGATAAATTAAAAGATAAATAGATAAATAAATAAACATATGCATGTATATATATATATATATATATATATATATATATATATATATATATATATATATATATATATATATTTATATGCGTGTGTGTGTGTGTGTATGTGTGTGTGTGTGTGTGTGTGTGTGTGTGTGTGTGTGTGTGTGTGTGTGTGTGTGTGTGTGTGTGTGTGTGTGTGTGTGTGTGTGCGCGCGCGCGTGTGTATACATATACAAAAATATGTATGCATACATATGTGTTTGTATATATATATATATATATATATATATATATATATATATATATGTGTGTGTGTGTGTGTGTGTGTGTGTGTGTGTATGTATAT